AGAGAATACATCCATTTTTGATTCGTTTTTGCATTTTTTTAGCTGGAACTTTGTGTTGTCAATTTCCACAATTGTTGATCCGAATGTTCGTTTAATTACTTTTCATTTTTCATTTCATAGTTTTCCAGCTGTGCAGTAAATCATTGCTTTCGATTGAAGTATTGATGTTACCTTCGTAGTGTAACCCGATCGAACCGATTTAAACAAAACATGTATATTCTGATTCACCTCATTGTTTTCATTCTTCTTCCTCTTTCTCCTTTTTCGTCTTCGGTTTTTCCGAGTTTTTCTGTCTTTTCCCCTTGTATTCAAGAATGGATTCAGTCTCCTAATCAATGTTGCTTCCATCCCTATCACCTCTTATCTCACTCCCGTCCAAATGGGTATCAGAACATATTTCTCCCAACCAAATTTGTGCTGCCAACTGTATAGTTTCCGTTGTGCTCCTCTATTTGGATTTTTGGCCAAATTTATGTGTTCTGTCCATCTCCTGTCGGACTGTCTTCCTGTCCTTCCCACGTATATATGTCTACACCAAGGTAAAACTCCTTGTACTAACTAGTTGCTCAATTTTCGTTGATAGCCTGTATATCTGCTCCCACTTTTGTGTCGTGGTGAGGTCGCCTGATGCTGAGGTGTCTTCTACCTTCCCGACAGATCTTCGGCGCTCGAAGATGTATCGGATGATTCATACTCATCACTCCCGCTTGATCTTGTACTAAGGCTCTCGTAATCATCCACACTTGTGTCGCCGCCATTTGTATTGGACACTCTGATGTTATCTGGATCTGGCAGGATCTGTGTTTCAAAATCAGAATCCCGGTTGAAGTCTCGCCCCTTGTAGGCGATCAATCCAGGAACTTGCCTCAATGCCGAGATCGCTTGCGGCTTGTCCTTGTACTTGATGTTATGCATCTTACATAAGACCTTCAGGTTCGTGTAGTGAAAACGAAGGAGTTGCATGTCCGTCATCAGTTCGACCCCGAAATTAATGTTCTGTTTTGCCTTCGACTTCGCTGCCGACACGTTGCGATTAATCTTCGTTCGTCCTCTCTTGGGGTGTGGAGGGATTACGCGTCCCAATCTGCTTTTGTTCGGTGCGCTTCTGCTTGGCATGCTTCGGCTCGGAATGCTGTGACTACCATGTACTGAAATTGGTAGTCCAGCCATTATTCCCCACATATCCGTTCGGATGAACCGAAGACGACATGATCGGAGTGCAGGTACGAGTCAGTTCATTGATCTTCTGCAACGCACCCTTCACAACCGCCAGATCATACTTTAGTAGCTTAAGGTTGTTGACCTCCTTCTGCACTTCCGATACCATCCTTTCTACTTTATCTTCCGCCTCTGCATTCTTCTGACCGGTTGCGCTTGGACCAACTTGATTCTGTCCCCCTTGGTTCATCTCTGTCGGCTTCAGTGCTTCATCAATGATGGACTTGAGCGCGTCCGGAGTTAGCTCAGGCTTCTTTGCAGTGTCTTCCTTGTTTGGAGGAGCTGGCTGCTTTTCACTTGTCTTTCGTGTGAGTTGCTCCAGTGTCTTGAGAACTTTGTCCATCTCCCGGCGGAGCTTAAAAATTTATCCCTTTAGATCCGCCGTAAACCACGCTCGATTTCCCAGTGGGGGGAAATCATTCCGTCTTTGCTCCCACAATGATCTCGATAACCACTTTGGAGATTCTGACGTCGCCCTTCTTCTCCGTGACGATGGTGATCTTGACTTATGTCTTCTATCTCTCGGAGTCTTCAATCTCCTCCTTCTTGAGCGCTTCCTCCCTTGAGATCCGAAAGATGATGATGAGTGTCTGCGCCGCCTCCTGTCCGACGATGATCACGAACGCGGCATCTTCCTTGAAGTTTGGGAACGTCAGGTAGGTAGTCTTCATACTTGAAATTGATAAAAAACCCCACAACGTCGTTGATCGTCTTCAATACACACCGGATAAGTGAAATAGAATCTTCAAAATTCGCTGAGTAATCTCCACGCTATAGCAATCTCCAACAAATCTCCACTATCATATTATGAAAGAAAAGGGTTACGAATGATGAGAGAGAGATAAAGACAGTGAATGTAAAATGGAAGAGTGACATGTCTATACAGTGCCAATCATCGCGGGTACCGCCCGCAAGTTCTAAGCACCGTGCATAGTGATAGACACATGCAAATGTAAACAGAACGTTCGAGGTTTTACTTTCACAGCATACACATGCAAATGTAGACAGAACGTGCGAGGTTTTACTTTCACAGCATACACCTAATCTCCATGGCATGCGACACCAGTCATGATTACCCTTCTACCTCACTGCTCAGGTAATCATTTCAGCCACTATCCTCAGTATTTATACCCTTCGTTCCCAGTCCTTCTCCGCCACTTTCCMTATCCTTGCAGTGTACTCATCATCTATCCTCAGGATCTCCCGTAGTCGCTCTCTGTGTTGTCCTTGTCGTCGTCGATTTCCAACATGCCTTCAATCTGGAACTACTTTCATCATATCTAATGATTCTGTGCGTGCTACTCACGTACTCTCCTCTCTGTTGGAGTTCCGTCTTACTGTGGTACTTGCCTATAACTCCGCTGTTTTTTTATACTGACTCGGATCTGGCCTTGTTTGTTGTTCTGTTCTTGTTTACTTTCAAGGCCGTGAATTTTTCTTCATTTTCAGGTGAGTACTTTTTGTTTATTGGTTCGTTTCCACTGCTTCAGGTCTTTCATCTTCTATCTGTTTTGTATATTTGGAAATGTGAGCGACACTGTTACGTCGTTATATCTGTAGAAATTCTGTGATATTCCGGGGTACTTAGTCGTGTATGTTTCTTTTTCGTCCCTGAAAATTTATTTTCATTCCGTGCAAAATTATATTTTTGATTTTTGATTTTTAATTTTTCGATTTGTGATTTTAACTTTATATTCCGAGTCGTGTGAATTTCTTTACGTATTTTATTCCGGACTTTCAGTTTTATATCCGTCGATTTGGTGCTTTTTGCTTTTCCATGTACTCCTGTAATTTATTTCGGACGTTCGCGTCCCTGCAGTTTCGGATGAACACAAGCATCGCGGCGCGGGTTATTCTCCATGGGTAATCCATGAATCGGAGTTCCCGTCCGAATAGGTCAATCACGGGCGGTAGATCCGCCATCTCGTATGTGTTAGCTACCATTCGATGAAAAATTTCGATAATCGTCAAGGTCTTGGTTCTCTCATAACCCGCACTCCTGAAGTGACGCAACGTCATGAGAGAGAGAGAGAGAGAGAGAGAGAGAGAGAGA